TCCCCCATCTATGAAATGGAGTTAATATCTACTTGCCAGAGTGGGAGGCTTGAGTAAGTGAAGAGGTTTAAAGAATACGGTCAACTATGAAGTATTACTGAAAGGCAAGTCAACAATCTTTTAGAAACAAAAAGCACTGCCTCAGATGGAAAGGTAATTGTCATCTTGGGTTTGCCATAACAAAGTCATTTTTAGCAGGGAGAAGAAATTTTGAGATCATTACTTGAAAAATTTAATTTTGAAGTCTGTAATTTATTAAAATACTTACAGCTCATATAGCAGCTTAATGAGGATTCTGTGATTCTTCGATGTGAGGGTGACCTGGCTGTGACATCTGTCACCCCATTGATCCCTTACCGCTCCTTGTGTGTCCTTCCCTAAGGTGCATTCTTGGTCTAAGAGGAGGACCTTCCTTGATAGGGGAGTATCTTTCTTGGGTCAAAAGTGTATGGGTAGCTGTATTCCCTTGCTAGAGCCTCCAAACAAGCTCGCAAAGTCTGTTTTGAGGAGAACGTGGGTAGTCAAGCTTGCAAGACTATAGACACAGCCAATGGAGGCTCTGCCTGTGGCAGTCTGTCTTTCCTTGGGGGAAGAAACATTCCGTGATCCTAAGGTCTGTTCCCTCCCGGTGCAGTTTGTGGCCTAGTGTCCTGAATGTTAAGAGGGAACCGTGCACTCTTTGCTTCTAGGGAATGATTAAAAACCCCAAAGCAATTGTTATTTCCCATCCAGAAACATTTCATAAAGAAAGGTTGATCACACAAAGAGATAAATGGCAGGAGGTCAGGGTGGTGGGGATGCCATATTTTGAAGGAAATTTGTATTTTTTAATCAAATTTTTTTATTTTAAAGAGTGTGAGCCAGGGAGACGGGCAGTGGGAGAAAGAGACTTTTTTTTTTAAATTTTTTTTTTATGTTTTATTTACTTCTAGGAGAGAGAGACAGCGTGAGCAGGGGAGGGTCAGAGAGAGAGGGAGTCACAGACCGAAAGAGGCTCCAGGCTCTGAGCTGGCAGTCAGCACAGAGCCCGATGCGGGGCTCGAACCCACGAACCGCGAGATCATGACCTAAGCGAAAGTCGGACGCTTAACCGACTAAGCCACCCAGGCGCCCCCAATTTTTTTTTTTAATGTTTTATTTATTTCTGAGAGAGAGAGAAAGACAGCGTGAGCAGGGGAGGGTCAGAGAGAGAGGGAGACACAGAATCTGAAACAGGCTCCAGGCTCTGAGCTGGCTGTCAGCACAGAGCCCGACGTGGGGCTCGAACCCACGGACCGTGAGATCATGACTGAGCCGAAGTCAGACGCTTAGCCCACTGAGCCACCCAGGCACCCCAGTGGGAGAAAGAGACTCTTAAGCAGACTCCGTGCTCAGTGCAGAGCCCAATGCAGGGCTCAGTCCCATGACCCTGGGATCATGACCTGAGCCAAAGTCAAGAGTGAGATGCTCAACTGACTGAGCCACCCAGGCACCTCTGAAATTTGTATTTTAAAAGCTCTTCCAAATGACATCAGTTCATATTGACAAATCACCATGGTTCAAGAATACTTTTTATCCCCATGAAAACTACTTCTGTATAATGGGACTCAAATCATTAAGCTACTCATGTCAGTGATGTTGGGCAAGCACGTAACTAGTTAGGCAAAATAGCTCATGGGATACAGCAGACCTGGAGGGGAGGATAATGGAAGATTGCCAGTCAAGGCATTTTTGGGTTTCAGTACAAAATCCAAAATTCTAATATTTAGAGGAAAAAACTATTAATTTAAATAAATACAGTGCCAGCAGTTCTTCCAATGTCCTTGAGAGTAAATGTGTTTTGGCAAGGTGCTGACATCCTTCAGTGTGTTTTCCCAAATGTTTTTTGTACAAATGGCCATATTGAAGGCACAGGAAAAAAAAAAAAAAAGGTTTGGTGAGCTGGATGCTGGATTTATAAGCCAAATAGTAGCTCCTTTTGAGATTAGGCTAACCCCAGGTTTTAGGGAAATGACTGGGGCTTTATATTCTTTCTCCATACCAGTTTTATTTACATCTCTGGATGTAGGGTGAGTTTTCTGAGTAGTTGATGTAATGTAGGCCTACTGTGATGTGAAGCACCGGGCTTCTTTATGTTCTCTTGTGTTATTTTTATTTCTTTGTTTTGTTTTTGGAAATATATTAGTAACTTATTCAAACAAATGAAAACTGTGTAACAACACTAAATTTTTGTAAGCACGTTGGAAAAAGTACATATTAATTACAGACTTCGTCTGTAATTTCAGGGGAATAATTAAAAGGAAACTATAGGACCGATAAGTGTATATCCAAAAGCTGCTCTGGATCATGACAATCTTGAGCAGAAAATGGAGAAAGGTGCATTTATTGACTGTCAAAAATGGGATTCCCTTATTGGGTGGATGACGGTATATGTGCTAGTCAACCAGATTTTGTTATTGTAAGGGAATAAATACAGCTCTTCAGTTGTGAAGATGTGTTAAAGAACACTCATTAGATAACTCTCAGCAACTGTCCATAGATTCGAATGTAGGTTCTCAAGTAAATACTAAATGAGCAGGAATGAAATTCATTGAGTTTCACATGTTAGCGACCTTATATTTAGAGGTACTAAGTATTTGCTATAAGCAGAACCGAGCATGGTTGGAGTTGTTAATGACCATAGGCATTTTAAATTTAGATAATTGGGTTGTATTATTAAAAAGTAAGTTTTCTTGATAGCCTGATGTATCTCCGGCATTACCTATTGTCATGCATAAGGTTGGATATAATAACTGGTTTCTCGATGGCTTATCAGTTTATTTTTTGGAGTATTTTGTGACTATTTTAGTCTTCAGCTGGGTTGTTGCTAAAGCCCTGTGGCAGTTGGCACATCTGATCCCTAGTGAAGTGATGGTAATTAAAAAAAAGAAAAAAGAAAGAAAAGAACTATACATAAACCATTTGATGGCACTAGAGATGTAAAATCCTTGTGAATTGTCACTTAGAAGTTGCTTGCAGATTAGAAAATTTGGGGGAATAATTAGAAACCTTGTGTTGATCTCTTTTATTAACAGATTTGTTGAGATTCAGTTTATCTACCGTAAAGTTTCTCCTGATAACTTTTTAAAAAAATGTTTATTGAGAGAGAGAGAGAGAGAGAGAGAGAGAGAGAGAGAGAGAATGAATGAATATGAATGAATCCCAAGTGGTCTCTGTTCTGTCACCATGGAGCCTGATGTGGGGCTCGATCTCATGAACCATGAGATGATGACCCGAGCCAAAATCAAGTCGGACACTTAACTGACTGAGCCATCATTGTGCCCCCGATCATTTTTAAATAAAGGGGAAATATATACAGATGTCTCACTATAAGTTTCTTCCCTTTATTTTGAAGCATTTTAAACAACAATAAAGTATATATTTTCACTAATGAGATCTTTTGGATAATAATGAGATGATCTTTAGAAAGGCTTTTCTATATCTGTAAGCAAGAAGACTTGAGTAGACCAGGAAGGATGCTATAGTTCCCTGTGCTGGAAATACAATGCTTGAACATGCTGGCCACTTGTCAGTGTTGTGAAATACTAAAATAAAAAACTCCATTGTGACATAACCAATAATCAGGCTAAAAGGAATTACTAGAAGAGCATCTTTTCAGGTTGTAGGTAGAAGAGACCCTGATAAGAATTGTTTTGATTTCATGATGACTGTTAGTTTTTCTTTTACTGCTGATTCATTTAAACGTGTGTGTGTGTGTGTGTGTGTATGGTCTTGTAGGTCTGGAAAAAGTGGTGAAACTGAGGAACAACATAATAAGTAGGATAAAGTCAGCACCTGTATAACTACTACTTGGGTCAAGAGCTAGAACCTTGTGGCCTCTTCAGGTTACTTGGAATTTCCCTTCCCCCACTTGGGTCCTATGTCATTTTTATTCCAATCGTCTCTTCCCTACCCCCTAGATATATAGGTATGTATCAGTAAGTAAAATCACCTATGTATATGTCTCTATTAAAGTTTAATTTTGCCTGTTTTGTAAATGCATGGAAATGAAGTCACATTCTTTTGGTCTTAACCTGAGGTTTATAAGATCCATCCATATAGGAGCATATGGTACAGTTCATTCTCATTGGAATATAGTAACCGTTATATGAGCATGATACATGCATTTATCCATTTTCTAGTTTGTGGGCATTTGGGTTTTACCCAGTTTTTTTTTTTTTTTAACTGCTGCTTATTCTTATGGTCGGTAATACCTGATACACATTGGCATGAGTTTCTCGAAGTGTGGTGCTTTCATCGATAGCATGAGTATAAAATTTGTTAGTAATGCAGATTCTCAGGCCCCATCCCAGATCTACATGCAAATACCACCTTGGAATATATATTATATGCTTATTTTAGTGACTGTGCTTTTGCTACAAATATTTCCAGGTCTTCTCATTTGGAACTGCCTCAGGAACCCATTAATGATCACATCTGTGCATATGTACTCCTGCAAAGATAACACTGACTCAAGCCTCTTAGCTGTTTACCCATTACTCATTTTTGACACAAGTTAGACCCAGTTTGAGTCAAGGTTTTGGTATTTTTGAAAAATAATGTTCAAAAGAAGTTATTTGCCAACATTGAAGATAGTCCAAAGAATATGCTGTAGACAGAAGACCTTCCCAAAGTGGACGTGAATACACATTGCGTGGAGCATCATTCTAGAATGAGAGCAGTGGAGCCCTACAGACATAGTGGTACAGACTCCATAGTAGGGCGGACATGGGCTCAAATCCACTGCTAACAACTGACTAGCTGTGTTGACTGAATTTCTCTATGCTACATTTTTCTTCTTTGCAAAGGGAAGATAATATTTACTCTAAAGATTCAAAACCATCAATATGTAAAGATGATCTGCAGGGTCACACTCTTAACCGTGGACGCATGTCAGCTGTGGATCAGCGGTATTAATCTGAGTGTGGAGGGTGGTCATGCCTTCGTAGCTCTCATGCTTTTTACTTTTGTGCTTCCTGCAGGAACGATTCCAGGTGAAGAATCCTCCCCATACGTACATTCAAAAGCTCAAAGGCTACCTGGATCCAGCTGTAACCAGGAAGGTAAGACGGATTTCTTTGCACTTTTCATGGTACCTTCCACATTGGTGAGTGGGCATCTCCTACACTGGAGGGGACTCTCCTTCCTCTGCATTATCGCCTCTGCTCGAGCCTCCAGCAAGGCAGCGTTGGGAGACAGGCACCATGAGGACTCAAAGAAGAAAGCCATCCTTCTCATGTAAGCATGTGTTAAAAAGTGTTTTCCTGAGGTGGGAATCACGTACCTTGGATGGTTATTGAGCCACTGCCATTTCAAATTACCCAAGGCAGTGAGTCCAGTCCAGAGGTGCTCAGGCCCCCATGAAAGCAGGCTTAGCAAAGGGAATACTTGTCTTTCATGCTTTGGTGCATTTCCAGAGGCCTTGAAAACTCACTGTGGCTTTGTCATCCCAGCTGTGCACTCACATCCTGTTGATGCTATTAGCAGCTTCCGGGCCTAACCCTGCCCCCGGCCCCAAGAAGGTAAGGAGAGAATAGCTGATTCCATTCTCAGCTGACTCCCTCCTTTTACAGACAAGCTGTGCTTTGTGTAGCCACACAATTGGTTTAAACCGATGCCTTGTGGTAAAGCCTGTAGCCTGGCACGGCCCCGCGGGCTTGGATTGGCCCTGGGGTGTCTCGGGGTAGAACTGTCCTCGCTCAAGATGGGTACAGGTACTCTTCACCCGATAGCACTGGTTTTTTGGTTGATCTTCCACAACTCCTGCTTTCAAGGCTGCAGCAAAAATAACTTGAGCTGAATTCCTTCTGTTATTTTAGTGTGTGACTCGTGAAAGAAGAAAGGCACACTTTTCCTAGCTGCCTGCTATTTCTAGGGCTCTTAGAATTCTTCTCAAATCTTTTTATCTTCTTCTACTCTCAACATCTCCACTGCCCCCCATCCAAAGAAATCAAGCAAATGAGAACAGCTTTTACTTCCTTTTGGAAGTTTCCTGACCTTTTATCCTGTGGCTAACATGAGACAAGCCGAAGAAATACAATCTAGGGGTGATGATGACCATGGACTATAGACCTGTGCTGTCAGGTAGACGCCGTATGTGACTTGACTGTGCTGCAGACTCCTGACAATGTACTTGTCAAACTATCATAATATCCCCCCCTTGCAAATAGGGCTCACACATGGTTCTTTTCTTTAAAGAGCCTCTGTCAGGCCCCCTCAATGAGTCTGTCCCCTCTTTCTTGTCTCCTTCCCCAAGGATATAGCAGCCTTCATCAGATGATAGAGTTATGTGAAGGCAGTGCCCTTCTCCCCCAACACAACCCCCAAAAAAAACCCAGGAGTTTTTTTGGCTGTTTCTTTTTATAAGGACGGCAAGATTGTATTTCATTATTATTAAAAAATTTTTTAATTTCTTTAATTTTTAGAGAGGGAGCGTGTGTGTGCATGCTGGTGGTGGAGGGGCAGAGAGAGAGGGAAGGGAGAGAGTCTCAAGCAGGCTCCACACCTCAGGCAGAGCCCAATGCAGGGCTCGATCTCCCAACCTGAGATCGAATCATGACTTGAGTCGAAATCAGGAGTCAGACGCTCAACTGACTGAGCCACTGAGGCACCCCAACAAGATTCTGTGTTAGAAATATTTTCAGAAATTCCCCAACGTGTAAACCCTCAGGCGGGGTGGCTCCAACCCCAGCATTAGGAACACTCCTATGTTGCTGAGTGAGGCAGAAACGTGGGTGTTTGTGCATAGAGTGAATGCTCCTCTCACACACAGCAAATTCCATCCCCAGTTACCTCAACATTTCTCAGATTCTTAGGAAAAAGCAGAGAATAAGAAAACTCCTTGAGAACACTTCTCTGAGTCCATCGGCAAGTTCTGTAAGGAAGAGATGCTTGGAGAGAAGGGGTGGCTTTCTTCTGGAATCTTTATTCCTGAGTTAAGCAACGATTGTAACACAAATAAGCTGCTTAGAAAGTGTTTTGCCTCCATGGCAAATAACTTCATAAAGGACAAAGTCGATGATATGATATCTGTGTGGGCTGACCTTCACTCCTCAAATCCCGGCCCCAGACCGTGTGTGTTCGCCCAAGTGGCCTGCTTCAGTTTGTGCCTTGCCTTTCAAGATCAGTCATTCTGCTGAGAAAAAGATAAAATGGATGTTGGATCAACCACCCCGGCTTTAGTAAGATTTCTGTCAGGAGCGGGCAGTAGGAAATGATCTTTTCCACTCAGTATAACTGTCATGCTTAGAGCCTAGAAAGGAAATTTTGCTTGGAATAAGGCATGGCTTGTAGTTAGAACAGGTATAAGATTCTTAGCTGTGCTGCAGTGAGGAAAAGGGAAGGTTTCAAAGCAGGACTTTCAATTTTATGTTAGCCAAACAGTCTAGTCTGAGTCATCTTCTCTAACCTGTGTCTGGAGGTCTTACGCACTTTAATTCATTTTTATCTTTCGTTCACACTGAACAAAAGGACCTAATTCTATATCTCTGTGACCAGGACTTTCCAAACCAGCCTCCTCATGGAGTACCAGGCAGTGCTGGTGTGTGATTTGGGGAGGTGTGCTCATACCTCGTGTGGAAAAAGACTACCCACCATGAAGAAAGGAGCGTGGTTCTCTGCAGGCTGTGCGGTTGTGAAATGAGACCTATTGCATAGATTTCCAGGGCTCCCCTGGGCTCTCATCCTGGGGCCTGCCCATAGTGGAGAGGGCCAGGGGAATGTTTCCCACTGCTCACTGATGGCACCTGGCTCCTTGTTGCGCCTCTCCACAGCGTGTGGTTTTCCTTTGCAGTGTTTTGAAGCATTCAAAATACATTGTCGCAGTACAGAGCGCTAGCAATCATTGTGTGTGTGTTAGACAGGTGGGTGGCGAGACTTGGCCGTGGTCCCAAGTCCCACTGACAGTTAAACACTTCTCGAGAGAACATAATATAGGGACAAAGTCGGTTTGGTTTCTCTGTTCTCATGTAGTTGCAGAAGTGTAGTGCCTACCATAGTACATGCCTGAGACATATTATCTGCTACTGTGGTCATTCCTGGTGTCTCATAGTGTTTTGATTGAGTTTCTCTATTTCGATATATGCCTCTTAGTCCTTCAGCAGATCCTCTTTTATACTCTATTGTGTCCTCACTGCTACACTAGGTGCCCTTGTGGCTGATGATGAGGTTTCGTTGAGGGCCAGCGAAGGCCACAGGGAATGAGTCAGAACTGTGCATAAAACATAGTTGGGAACGCTGAGTTGCTTTCTAAATGCCACATATGCAGGTAGTCCAAGACCTGTGACTCTGACACTCTGACATGGGAACTGCTCTCCGGAGCAGCCAGTGTGGCTGGGAATGGGATCCCTTGCTGTGTGGCCGGAGGCTCTGCCTCATCAGTGGTCCTCGTTGCTGGAAAGCTTTCCAGGAGACACCGGGTTTGGATGTCCCTCCAAATGATACATGAGTCTTCTGTCATTTCTTAGGCCTTTCTTGACAAATGGGGGGAGTGGCTCTTTTTTCATTGCTTTGGGGATGCTTTAATTTCATCTGTCTTACTATACCCGGATTCTAAACACCAAGAAGGTCTTTGGAGTTCTTTAAGAATGACAGTCAGGGGAAAGCAGTCAGACTGTTTACTTCCTTGGGCCCCTGGTGAGAAGCAGTTGGCAGAGCGGAGAAGAAGGTAACAGGAGTCCACCCACGCTGAGCAGGGCTCTGTGTTCACTGGGACACCAGGTCCTGCCTGTGGCATGGCGGGGCCTGGGTCTGCCCACTGCACATCCTCCCTTTCCAGCCTTCCTCCTTTCCTTCCTGTCCTTGGATGCCTTTGTCTGTGGAGCTGGATGAGCTTATTTCCACCACAGTTGTGGCACCAGAGGAGAAGGGTCCCTAATATCCCGAGCTAGAATTTTCACAGCCTTTTCTTGAAAACAGTGTAACATGCGGGTGGTTTGGGTTTGCAGCACAGAGAGCATAGACTCTTCTTAAAAAGGCGTGGTACATCAAATACTTCCAGAGTGGCCTATGACTTCAGTTACTGTAAATAAATGTTTCTGTAGGAAATTGTGTTCCTGACGGTGGATGTGCATTGCAACTCAGTGCTACATGGGGATTATTTAGAGCTAAGAGGATAAAGAAACATACATTCACTAGCAGAGAGTGGTTCACTGAAGAAAGAAAGACGTGAGGGGGTTCTAGAAGAATTGGTAGGATTTTGATTGGGCCAAGGGGTAAGGAAGGCCTTCCAAAAGTAGGAGGGATCTTACAAATGGGGGCTTATGGGTCGAGGTATCTCTGAATGGTGATTTTGGGGAAATGTTAGGCCCTGCAGAAAATAACAAACATAGCAGTCTTGAGATGGCTGCCTTAGAAAGACCACCTTGCAAGGGTGGCTCTTGGTTGACACCTGGGGACTTGAATTTCAGGAGAGTTCGTAACTTTTCCCTGATAAGAACGATTCACTGCCCCTAAGATGTTCATGCTAACAATAGGGTTGATGCTGAAAGCCTTCTTTTCTCTTTCTGGGAGTCTGAACTTTTAGTATGTGCTAGGCAGAGAATGCCTAAGTGACTGGCCCCCAGTACAAATGCTGGGGACTGAGTCTCTAATGAGCTTTCCTGGTGGACAGCATTTCACAAATACTATCATTTGTGACTCCTTTGGGAGAAGACTATTAGAAACTTGTATCTGTTTTCTTCTGGACTTCACCCCGTGCCCTTTTCCCTTTGCTTAGTGGGCCTTGTATCCTTATGCTGTAGTAAATCTTAGACATAGGGCAACTGTATGCTGAGTCTTCGAAGGGAGTCTGAGCAAATGATTGAAATTTGGGGGAGGGGCGCTTAAGAATCCCCACCACTTAGGTATTTTGATAAATATTGTAGGGTATAGGGAAAATAATCTACCTACTCAAAGACACCTTGTATGTGAAGTAAGTTTTTATAGTTCTTGTGCAAAAGCTAATTTTCATGATGAGAACAATTTGTGTGCTTTGCAGTAAGAAATGTGATAGAAGCCCCCTTTGAAAGCAGAGGTGTTTTGATATTGTGTTAAATGAGTGGCAGTTATAGCAGGTGATAAAACCCGTTTTGTGAGATGATGTGTTCTTGAATTATAGAAATTCAGACGGCGTGTTCAAGAATCCACACAAGTGCTAAGAGAACTGGAAATTTCTTTAAGAACCAACCATATTGGGTAAGTGAGCCCATTTAACATTTTCCCTTTAAGGCTTTTGGACGCTTCACCAAATGGCTGAGTCTTATCCAAAGAATTCAACTTCTTTGCTAATCATTACAAAATAAGAGACTGAGGTTTAGATGGGTGGGACGTTTATTAGTACTTGAATTGCTATCAGTAGAAGCAGGACAGACAGTCTTTGATTTGGGATATTTACAACAATCCTAAAATGCTTTGCTTGGATGCAGTGATAGTGCTTGGTCTCCCATGTGTGTAACAATTCCTGGCAAATCAGGAACTCAGAGCAAGTAATGTATCCTGGGATACTGGGGCATCTCTCCGTGGTCACCGGAAGTCTCGCAGCTGGTTAGCTGAAGCCGCTTCATTGTCCTTTCCTCAGCTCCAGAAGGGCCGAGAAGCTGGAATGATGGCATCTGACACCCCTCATTGCACTTAGGTGTTCTGAGTGTCTTCTTCCTGCATCCCCAAACTTCAGGACCAAGAGTGTAAATCCACTCCAGAAAATAAAGTTGGGAAAATCTCAGTGCTCAGCATTTCTGAGAGTTTTGCATGCAACTTGCTTCTAGGAAGTACAACTCCATTACATTCTCCCTTACTCCTAGAAGGACATAATTGTACAGTACCTTAGAATGAGATGGTTCATCTCCAAGGCAGAATGATATCAGGTATCCTATTTTACAGCTTTAGATCTTCCTGATGTACCTGTTGAACATCCAGCAAATTATGTAGCCCTTCTGTGTTTTGATTCTTTGAATTTTACAGTGAGAAGACTGTAGACTTTAGATCTTTCAGAACTTTTTCCTGTGACCTGCTTTGCGGGTCTGTTGGAAATGAAGTTTTGCACATGTATGTTACATTATAGTTTTGCAGGTTATTACATAAAATAAATACACTCCAGCAATAATAGTTCTACGTCAGACAGTGCTTGGTATAAGCCATTCACGTGGTTCATTTCCACAGTTACTTCACTGCTTTTTAAAAAAATATATATTTTATTTCTGAGAGAGAGAGAGAGACAGTGTGAGCGGGTGAGGGTCAGAGAGAGAGGGAGACACAGAATCTGAAGCAGGCTCCAGGCTCTGAGCTAGCTGTCAGCACAGAGCTCGACACGGGGCTTGAACCCACGAACCGTGAGATCATGACCTGAGCCGAAGTCAGACGCTTAATTGACTGAGCCACCTGGGCGCCCCTCCAGAGTTACTTCAGAATAAGCTTTTTTAAATTGCAGATATGCGAGGTTGAGTTATAGGTGATGGAGCGTGGGTGAGAATGTTCATTTCCTAAAGGATAACTGCACATTTGTCACCTTGAGAATGAAGTATTTAGAAAATGATCTGATTTCTCAAGCTGATAATCACTTTGTCCAGGAAAATGGGCTGTCAGGCAGTGGATCATAGAATCATGCTATTAGAACTGGAAGAGACCTTGAGGATTACCTAGTTCTTCATTTTACAGATGGAAAAACATTCAGGACCTGAGAAGGTGAGTAACTCCTAGAAAGTCTATAGCTGTACAGCCAGGTGCTGTGGTTCAAAATGCTGTGTTCTTTTTCTTATATAGTCTAATCTGACAGCTCTTTCCCTGAAAGGAGGTAAGGTAATCAGGGCCCTGGGATCAAAGCAGTGAGGCTTGTCTGTTGGGGGTGAAAGTGGTGGTGATTTAATACAGTTGGGCATCCAAGCTTAGGAAATTCAGATACTTGCCAGTATTTGCGGATCAGGAACCAGATTCCATTTGGTAAGGTCTGACCCTGTACTGTTGGCACTTCTTCTTGACTGACAGTGGTAAAGTGAACTGCAGCCAGGGTTTCTACAAATGGTCAAAGAGCGTTTCTTTCAAGCATTGCTGAAATAATGTGAAATTGACCATCAAATACCAAAGCAAGACAATCCTTTCTGATACAAAGCTGGCTGAATAGAAGAGCCCTGGTTGGGCTGGAGCCAGTGCAAATCTGCAAGCAATCTGAGTAGTTTGCTGTTTGGGATACTATAGGCACGTTGGAAAGATTCTTAGATTTCTTTCATCTTTAGCATCTGAAATTTCCCTTTGTCTACCACCTATTGTGTGAGACTTTCTGGAAGCTTTGGCTTTAGCATCAGAAAAATCCATGGGGGCACATTGTCTGGTTGTGCACAACCACTTATTGGCCTCGCTTTAGGTAGAATGAAGCCACACCCCAGGGCTTTGAGCTATCTTGACTGTCCTCAAAACCCAAACTTGAACTGGACTCTTCATTATGGAAACTTAACTGGCTTGACCTCATTTGACTGGGAAATCTTCTGGAGAATTACTCAGTAATGTGAAAATCACCAATTATTACAGCAAGGAATTCTTGGAATGCAACGTGCTGTATAAAGGATTCATAGATTTCATTGCACTTTATTGAGGTACCATAATAGAACGATAATTGGGTGTCTATTGTCTTAGGGAAGGAGAAATCTTGCTTTAGACTTTTGGCATGCCCTGATTAGTTATTAAATAAGTTACTTAGATAAGTTGCATAAGCTCTTTGTCCTTACTCTGTGACCTTAAGTTAACTTGTTATCTATAAAATGAGGATAATAACATTTACCAGTATGAATGTTGTAAGGTTAAACGAGATAACTTATAAAAGACCTAATATAGGGCCTAATACATAATAATTAGTCAAAATATGATAGCTATTATTATTGGGCTTATTTAAAATAATGTTTAATAATAATTCAATAATATTATAGTCTCTAAGGAATTCCATACAGAGATTGTTACTTTCTCTTTCTAAAATGACCCTGACACCTAGGAGATTGTGATTCCCAGAAATTAAAAGAAAGAATTCTATTTGAAATCTACTTGTCTTGTAAAGGTTATTCCTGGCACATGCTTGTGTTTTAAGCTTAAAGTCTGGGACTTTGCTGAGATAACATTCTAACGTCCAGCTTTGTCCAGCAGAGGGTTTGTTCTGAGTCGTGATATAAGCCTAAAACTATAAATGGAAGCAGTCTTCTGAGAAAGAAAATTAATTTTTTTTGAGCCAAACTGAAGGAAGAATTGGACTAGAAATAATCTCATTCACTTACTCTTAGGAACCATAATAATAGAGAAGAATTGGATTATGCCTTATCCAAGCCCTTGAAATGACTCAAAGTACCCTCGAAGGGAGCCAAGTACTGTGAGGACACATTGGCTATGCAGTGTCAGTAGGCCAGATATCTGTTGTGATATTTTGGATGTCAGGGTGATAAGATTCAAGTGGTGGTGGTGGTGGTGAGCTGGGTAGGCTTTTGGGCTAGCACTGAGGTATAGGTTCATTCTCTGCAGATACTTTATTGTAACAAAATTCTCCATTATGAGAGAAAATGACTTTTCATCCTGAGTGCATGAACATAGATGTTCTGAAAGACGCTCAATTCACTTTATTACATAGGAGCTGAGAGAATGGGCATAGGGAGAAGGTTTATGGAAAGAGGAAGGGGCCCAGGAACTGCTCGGCGAAGGTGTTTTCTCCTGTAGTTCCCACCATCTTGGTGAATAGGGCCGGCTGGGCCAGGCCAACCAAAAGAGAAGAATAACTAAGTCTGGTTTTAACAGGTGTACAGCTGATGTGGGGTGTGTGTGTATGTCAAGCTACCCTAGGATGAATTCATTCTTAGGTGTTGATGATTGGAAATCTTCAAGATTGTGATCTTGTCACTTATTAAATATGTTCATTGTGTTATTTATTTCTGACAAAAATCTTTTTAATATTGCTCTCTCTGAGCCCCTGTTTATAGATGATGAAAGGGAGAGCCAGTTATTAATTATCTTGCTTCAGTCCACACAACTGAGAAGCACTGAGATTGGAACGGGATACCAAGCCCATTATCTAAACCAGCAGTTCCTAAACTTCTGTGATTTCAGGGCTCCTTTACTCTCAAATTATTTTGAACCTTAATAAGCTTTTGTTTATGTGGGTTTTCTCTCAATGTTTACCATATTGGAAATTTAAACTGATAAATTTGCACTTTGCTTATTAATAAAATTTAGCATTTATTTTAAAGTAAATCTTTAATAAACGTGTAAATACAAAATAGTAAACATAACACAGATAAGGTATTTTGTGAAAAATAGCTATTTTCCAAAGCAAGAAGGAAAAAAAACAGTGACAAGAACGACATTGATTTACATTTTATAAATTTCTTTAATGTCTGGTTAATAGAAAGCAGCTGGATTCTGACGACTTTGCATGTGACTTGTGGTAATCTGTTGTATAAGTATGTGAAGATGTACGTGAAAAAAAAAACTAGCCTTACGCACATGTACGCAATTGAAAAAAGGAGTTTGTAAATAACCTTCAGATAATTCTGGACATTCTTTCATAGTACACCATCCTCCAAGGAGTGGTAATTTCTTAGTTACTTGCAATGTAGAATCTGAAAGCATATCAGTGAGCTTTTGTACTTTGTTAAACTAAAACTCACTATGCTTTTTTCCCCCTTAATGTTAATTTTTGAAAGAGATAGCACGAGTGGGGGAGGGGCGAAAAGAAAAGGAGAAGGATCCGAAGTGGGCTTTCCACAGACAGCAGTGAGACTGATCTGGGGCAACCTGCACTCAGGAATTGTGAGATCATGACCTGACCTGAACTCAGATGCTCAACTGACTGAGCCACCCAGGTGACCCCACTCTGCTGTACTGACTATTGAATGGGTCTTTCTACCCAGGTGTAATTTGGATAACATCATGAATTGGTTATTTGGAAAATCTGGTTTCACTGAGTTATTCTGATATTTCAAAAATTGAGACATTTTATTCTACAGTACAAAAATAGTCACATGAATTAATAATTATCAGTGTTGTCTGAATATACTTGAAGTATTGGGACGTTGTCAAGTTCATGCTGGGGAATACAAATGTTCCAAAATTTGTTTTTTTTTTTTGTTTGAATCCTGAAATTTTATGATGGACAACAAATACTGTCAGTTGTTTTCCTTGAAATGATACGCTCATTTCATTCACTTTTGAGGAAAAGTCTGCCAAAT